TAATAATAATAATAATTCGAACCTTTCCGACTTGTTTTTCAACTTTTTTAGCCGTTTCATAAACCATTTCTCTATTTGTTATATCACACGTGTATCCATGTGCGTTACCTCCAAGGGATTTGACTTTGGTCACCGTTTCGCTTATGGCTAAAAAAGAAAAACAAAAAAAAAAATTAATTTATTCTTTTATTACATAGCGTGACGTCAAAAATTATTATTATTATTATTATTATTTTTTTTTTTGTTATAAATTAATATTTCCAAATATTTTTTTTTTTACAAAACGTTTAACCGTTCTAATTATGTTTACCTTGCAACTATTGAGAAAACATATTATTTACCAATCCCAATAGGTCAATTACTTATTTCTCATGCAATTGTATTTCTAATTATCTTGTTTAACTATATATAAAAACATACAATTTAATAATCAATTTAAATTTTTTTTTTTTTACTAATTAAAAAAAAAAAAAAAAACTCAAGTTAAATAATGATCATATTATTATTATTATTTTATTGAATGACAATGTTGTCGTCGTGTTGTATGAATAAATTAAAGGTTCATTAAAAGGTTCAAGATAAATGAATGTTTTTTGTCGTTTGTTTTTGTATTTCAGGCAAAAAATGACAATAAGAATGCTGTGTGTGTGTGTGTGTGTGTGTGTGTGTGTAAGATTCAAGTAAATCAACGTTAAATTACGAAATAAAATGCGCAGATACCCGCGCAAGAGAGTAACTGGAAGACCTTGAACTAAAATATTAATAATATTGCTTGTGAAAATAAAAATAATAAAATAATAAAAACCGCAACAACAGATTAATAATAACGTTTAATAAAAAAAAAAAAAAAAAAAAGAATGCATGAAATATACACCCAAGTATCTATCAAAAAGAAATTTCTCCGAGTTGTGTTACAAAGAAAAAAAAAAAAAAACGAAAAGGTTATCAGTTAAATCGTGTAACAACTTTTATTATTTAATCGTGAAAGTGATTTTTAATAAATAAATAAATAAATAATAATAATGAAAACTTATATGAAAACATGAATGAACGACAAAGAATAATAAATGATAATATTTGTATTAAAAAAGGGTTTTAAAAATAAGGGTTACTTGCCTTCAGCATTTATGTCCCAAACAATAATTGTACATCCCAATTCTGAAAATTTTTCTGCAAGGAGCCTTCCCAAACCTCCTCCTCCACCGGTTACCAAAACAATATCTTTCGATATGTTTTTCTTAGTTAGTTTGAATGGTAGAAAATAATGAATAATTGCATCGAGGATATAATAAACGGCGTAACATAAAAATACAACAATATCAGTTATATTTTCTTTGAGCTTGCTCATATTTTAAACCTTATTGAAATTCACTAATTACTTGTCTAATTACACTGCAAACAAACAAACAAACAAACAAAAAAATATTTAATAATAATTTTAACATGAAAACACAAACGTAAATGAATTAAAAATGTGAATTTAATAATTATAATTAAAAAAAAAAAAAATTTTTTTTTAAAATATTTCCTTAATTAGCCGACAATTAAAAACGTTATAAAAACTAATCGCGAGAGAGAGAGAGAGAAAATATACAAACCGAACGTATATCTCTTCGATCATCAATTTGTTATCATTATTTTTTTTTGTATAAAAAAGTGTTTCTAGAACCGTTAAAAAAAAGAGATAATTTATATATATATATAAACTCACACTTGTATTTTTATAAAAAAAAAAAAGAAAAAAATTTGCACGACACCCACAGCATCACCTGATGACAGATCACCAACTAAAAACAAACTAAAAGATATGTGACAGGGAGAAAAAGAAAAAAATGATACGCGTAATATTTTTTTATTCTGATAGCCTGATACGATAAAACCGCATTAGTATG